TTGCACTACTTTGTCGTACTAATGTTTTTATTTTAAATGACCAAATATCATTTAATACTTTGTGATCATACGTGTATAATGCCAATTTTTGTTAAAGAAAAAAATTAAACATTTTAGAATGTCGGCCTAAGAATTCAAGAAGTGTTAAAAAAGTGTCTCAAAGAGTTCAAAAAGTGTACAAAATAATAAAAATTTAACTTTATTTACGAATAAATAGTATATGAAGTGTTGAATATGTGTTGGAAGAGCATTGAACAAGTGTCTATGTCCAATAAGAACACAATTCAAATAAGGCTGTTTCGTAGAAGTTTACATGCTTCACAACTCTCATCCTACTGTCCTTTCCCACATTCAAGCCGCCCTACTCTCCTTCCTCACATTCAAGCCGACAGATCAATCCATTTTAGTAAATTCCACCATTAGCATTTAATGATTCAAAAATAAGTAATTGAGATTATTTGACTTTTCGTCAATTAAATGACCCATATGTAAGCCATGGTGACGTTGCAATTCAGTTGCAGTGTTAATTAGTGATTACTTCCTCTGCTTGTTTCATAATAGTTGGAACCTAATTATTGATGAAGAGAGTAATAATTTTTCATAGCCTACATTGAAGCCGCCATGAAAATAATAACATTAAATAAATAATTTAAAGGGGCAGGTGAATCTTTTTAAGCCAATTCCACCATATTTGACTTTTCAACACTTAAGCGACCCACATGTATCAAAGAGTTGGTGATGGTTCAGTTCTGTTCCAACATCAACGGTCAAACAACACTAGCACGAGAGAGACCAATCTCTTCTTTTCTCGTCCCCACAAGTTGCTTGAGTTGGTAAGATAACTGGACACCATTATATTTTATATTTGAATTTGTACATCTGAGCATCTCTATTATATAATTTGACATAAAATGTTATTTATATTATAGGAATGAGTAGGCGGATGTTTACTTGGTGACTACAAGTTCAAATGATGGGTAATTACGAGAAATTCTATGTCATAATTCGTAATTACCTATTTTTTGAATTTGTAGTAACCAAGTAAACCTTATATATATTCTCGCATTTTATGTTGCACTGACATCAACACAATACAATATGAATACATTAACACATTAAAATTTTAAAAACAAGGACAAGAATATGTTTTGGACACGACTTATGTATAATTCTAAGTTTATATATATATTTAACACCAACCAACAAACGAATTATATCATTCAAGATTAAAAAAGATAGGGTCGAGAAGCAAAGCATCAAACAACCACTAGGGACAGATTAAGTAAGTGTTGTATTGAGTAATAATATTATAAAATTTTAATTCATTTCTAATTTTTATATTAAGTATTGTAATGACTTTCATATCATATATATACATATAATTATTTCATTACTTTATCATACTAATATTTTTATCTTAAATGAACAAATATTATTTAATACTTTATTTATAATCATATATGTATAATGTCAATTTTTGTTAAAGAAAAAAATTAAACATTTTAAAATGTGTTCACATTATTTTCAATATTACCAGATAGATTTGTGTTAAAGATGTTTGAAAATGTCGGCCTAAGAAGTGTTAAAAAAAGTGTCCCAAATAGTTCAAAAAGTGTACTTAAAAATTTATCTTTATTTACTAATAAATAGTATATGAAGTGTCAAATATATTTTTGAAGAGTATCCAACATGTGCGGATGTCGAATAAAAACAAAAATGCAAATAAAGCTGTTTTGTAGAAGTTTACATGCTTCATAACTCTCATCCTACCGTCCTTCCTCACATTCAAGCAGCCCTACTCTCCTGCCTCACATTCAAGCCGACAGATCAATCCATTTTAGTAAATTCCACCATAAGCCAACAGATCAATCCATTTTAATTGAGATTATTTGACTTTTCATCAATTAAATGACCCATATGTAAGCCATGGTGACGTTGCAATTCAGTTGCAGTGTTATGAAGAACATCGTGGATCTAATAACACTACTCACTAGCAATGGGTTCATGAATTTTTGTTAAACACGAAAATTTTTCTCTCTCTCTCTTGAACGCATATAAGGTAGATTATACATGTAAATGTAATTACAAATGTAGAAATAATATCTTTAAAAGTAAGGCTAAAAAAGTTTAAGGTGAATTTTTTTATGAGTTTCAAGGAGATAAGATATATATATTTATTTCCAAAATCACTAATTTAAAGACAATTAATAAGTGTCAAAAATTTTGGGAGGGTCCAACTGAATTTTTTTTATTAGTTTTAGGAATACAATTTTGAAAAATGATTATTTTAAAGGGTTATAAAAAAAAAATTTTAAATTTGTTTGTGAGGCATTGTCTCCTCGATCTCTGGACTTGTTTATGTGACGAGGTATAATTAATTAATAATACGAATTATATAGAATCTTTCGATAAATTGGTACTATGGTAAAAGTTATATGTAACTTATTTTTTTTAGTGAGAATTTTCGCAACTACCCATCATTTAAACTCTCAGATATAATTGTAGTACTTAGCAACTCTCCTCCCACCAACTCTGTTGACGCCATAGGTAAAGATAAGGGTGAAAAGTACACTTACGTGTACCTTATTGTTATTGTGCAGTGCTTATAACTTTCCCAAGACAAATCCCTGTCATCCTAGTCGTGCTTAACGACTTTTCCAAGACAAATAACGTGCTTAATGACTTTTCCAAGACTCCAAATGTCCTCCCAAAATAAGCAGGAATACTCTTAGTGGGACAAATTAAGAGTTTGGGATTAGAAAATATGTTTCATAATAAATAAAGAGCAAATAATGCCCAGTAAAGTTAAAAAGATTTATATTTAGCATGAATTGACTAATGAGATAAAATAAGTCTAACAATTCTACTAACTCTTTGTGGAAATATCATTATTCACCATTTAAATATTCAAATAAAATAATTGAGATAATTTGACTTTTCAACAATTTAGTTATCTAGAGGGGCCAAGTGCAAGAAACACTGTATAATATGCTTACAATACATATCACACTCCTCCTACAGAACACTCTTGAAACCTTTATTTGGTACAAATAGGTTTCTCCTGACACATTTAAGTTATAGTTTAATTAAATTGCTTTTATATACACATTTTACATATTATTTAAAAATATATCATTTTATGAAATGACGAAAATAGTTAATTAGCATATGAAGGGTATGATACTTACTGTAAACATACTATAGGGGCCTTTTTTTGTACTTTATAAACTATTATTGTTTTGACTCTTTTGATCTTAAAAGTTAGATTTAATTGGGAATGTAATTTTATTGCAATTTGAATAATATAATAACAGTAGGTAATGGAACCTCAAATATTTTTTTTTTTCCAATAACTGTAGGTAATGGAACACTCAAATATTTGTGAAAATTTATCGCAAATTCTAAAGTGAAAAAAATTAAATGCATATTGTTTATATAATGAATAAATATTTTTAAATTAACTTTTTTAATTATATATTTAGTTATTAATAATAACTATATTAAAATTTAATTAGGAATATATATATATTTTTATAATTATAAAAAATAACTGAGGTTTTCATTTCACATGATATACTACATTAATTTGAAACTTGCGACAACAATATGGTTTTTTTTTTTTTTTTTTTTTTTTTTTTTTTTAGAGAAAATACAGAGGGATAATATACTGTTATCGAAAATATATAGAGAGAAATTATATTTTCGAAAAGGTGAGATAAAATTCTTAAAAGTGAGTTGTTATATATTTAATGTGCACATAACACCGATATACTAAGATGAACAATATTTGTCTTAGGCCGTATAAGAAGAAACTTCCTTCTTATGATGAGGTGACCCAATAAAATATTAACAGGTGTTTAAATTTTAAAAGAAAAAAATAATAAAGACTACAGGCAATAAAAACTTTAAGAAGTATCTATAGGCTATTCAATCGGCTCCTCCTGAAAGCCACCGGCGTACGAGTTCCATGGTATCGTTCCAAATTCCGACTCAGTGTCACAGATCTGGGGTTGAACCCATTGTCGGAGCCGTAAAACGACACAACTGAAGATGAACACGAGCGATACATTAGCCCACCACCACCACTGTCCATAAAAGACGATATCGATGTAGAGGAATACGGACTCGAAGGCTATCAACGGTGGAATGGTGAACTATTTGTCCTGATATGAAGACGTTGCCATTGATCAATTCAACTCACAACTCATATGGTTTAATTCACTAAAGCGCAAAACATTATTTGATTTTAGATTCAAAACACAGAAGTAATATATATCACTACGTGAGAGAAGGAAAGAAGGAATGATCAGTTTCTATTCCCTGTGGTCATCATTTTTTTTCTTTTAAAATTTTAACACTTGTTAATATTTTATTGACTATCTCATCATAAGAAGAGGATTACTTCTTATACGGCCTAAAACAAGTATTATTCGACTAAGATTATTAGTATTAAAGGGTAGTTTTGTACAATTTTAAAAGAAGAAATATATTTTTAAACACTTTTTGAGTACTGCGTGGAGTATACGTTAGGTTGTTTCCACGTTGCAATTCAATTGCAGTGTTATCAAGAACATCACGGCTCCAACAAACTAGCATTAACAACACTAGCAGTAGGAGGGTCCGGGACCAGTCTCTTCTTCCCTCTCATCCTACTCTCCTTCCTCATATTCAGGCCGCCATAAATATAATAACAATAAATAAATAATTTAAAGGCACAAATCAGTCCTTTTCAGTCAATTCCGCCATAAGCATTTGATTATTCAAACATACTACCTGAAGTACTGTAATTTCACTTTTCGTCAATTAAGTGACGTATAAATCAAAGCCACGGTGATTCGGTTGCAGTGTTATCTAGAGCATCATGGATCTAATAAAACATTTAATTAATTATATAAACATATAATTGAGACTATTTGACTTTAATGAATTGTGTGACCCCACATATCACGTATATATAGCCATGGAGATGGTGCATTCAGTTGCAGTACTGATAACAAGATCATCATGGATCTAACAACACTAGCAATAGGAGACACCAATCTCCTCTTCCCTCTCATCCTACTCCCCTTCCTCCTCACCTTTCTCATCTTGAAGAGCATTAAGGCAGCACCCAAAGGACCACCACTTCCACCAGGTCCCTATTCATGGCCCATCATAGGCAACCTTTTCCAAATGGGTAAAAGCCCCCATGTAACACTGGCCAAGCTAGCCAAAGTTCATGGCCCGCTCATGTCTCTCCGGTACGGTGCACAGCTCGTCGTGGTCGGGTCCTCCCCGGAAGCCGCTGCAGAAATCCTCAAGATCAATGACCGTGCACTTTCAGGACGGATGGTGCCAAATTCATATCAAATAAAGGGCTCAAAACTTCACAACTTAAATCTTGTATATAGCAATCAGTGCGACGATGACTGGAGGGTGGTGCGGAACCTTTACCGGACGGAGCTCTTTTCGAGCAAAGTGATGCAGTCCCAAGTTGAAGTGAGAGAGAAGAAAGTGATGGAGTTGGTGAAATATTTGGGCGGGAAAACTGGCCAAATAGTGAAGATAAAAGAGATAGGATTAGTGTGTGCTCTAAATATCTTGAGTAATGCATTTTTTTCAACTGATTTAACAGACTTTGAGGGTAAGGGTTTGGGTGAGGGCATGTTCCAATACGTTAGGACATTTGCTGAGTTGGGTGGTGTGCCACAATTATCAGACTTGTATCCCATTTTGAGTGGATGGGATGTGCAAAGCTTTTATAAGAAGTCGATGGATATCTTAGATAGAATGTATGCTGTTTGGTTTGATACTGTAGATGAAAGAAGGAAAAAAGGAATTGACGTTTCAGGTAGACGTGATTTCCTGGATGCTTGGTTGGAATGGGGTTAACCACTGAACAGATCAATCCATTGTTTTTGGTAACTCTCTCTCTCTTTCTCCCTTAGAAAAACATAGATAAATATTTTTATGCATCTATATATATATGTATATATATATGTTGAAGCAATTTGTGCTTGCAATTGTAATATGTATACGTGTGACCATACATGCACACACTCATAGCAGAGACGTGCATGTACTATGTTTTGGCTTATTTATTAATTAAACGAACAAATTCATTCTTCTGTAGGAGCTATTTGCTGCTGGTATAGAATCTTCAAGTGCAACGACTGAATGGACGCTTACAGAACTTCTTCGAAATGAAGAGGCCATGGAGAAACTTCGCAATGAACTCACAGAAGTGATCGGTAAAAACACAATCAGAGAATCAAATTTGCCCGACCTACCTTACCTTGAAGCATGTGTTAAGGAGATATTAAGGTTGCATCCTCCCGCACCACTGTTCATACCTCACCGCGCTGTAGAAACATGCGAGGTGATGGGCTACACCATTCCCAAGGACAGTCAAGTGCTGGTGAACATGTGGGCAATTGCCAGAGACCCCATTGTGTGGGACGATCCATTGAGCTTTAAACCAGAGAGATTCCTCAAGTCGGGGTATGACTACAAGGGGATCAATTTCGAATACGTACCATTTGGTTCAGGGAGGAGGATGTGTCCGGGAGCACCTCTGGCTTCTAGGGTAATTCCCCTAATGGTAGCTTCTTTAGTCCACCACTTCGATTGGATTCTTCCGGGCAACATCAAAGCTTCGGAGATTGACATGAATGAGATCTTTGATTTCACCATGCTAAAGAAAGAACCACTGTGCCTTATTCCTGAGATACGAAAATAGTTGAAGGCTCGTCAAGAATCCTGATTTTGTAATGATTATGATTTGTACGTACCAATAGTTGGTCGTCAAGTACTTATGTTTTGTTCCAGGATTATGTGTTAGCTAATGAATAAACAAGCAACTTATTTTCATTTCATCTGTGATTTCTCATGTCAATAACAAAATTGTAGACATAAACAAGCAAGTTATTTTCAGATTTGTTTGCTATAAGCTGTCAAGAATGAGACATTTATAGTTTGACAATAATTTAAAGCGTTAAAGGCAACTATTCTTGTGTGATTGAAATAATAATACGAGTAACAACGCCAATGATCGATCTCCATTGTGAGTACCTTCATTAATGTTAAAATAATATTGTAATGTACCGTTTGTCTTTGTTCTAAATATGCCGTCTTGTTTAGTCTTTTTGTTTGTCGCTTATGTGCAAAAACTTGTTTAATTTGGAAATGTCAACATGCCATTGTTGAGTTTTTATTTAAATATCGAGCACGATATGCAATTGTACAAGTCTTGGTTGAGTGTACATACATGACACATCTAGATTTAAGAATCTCAACTTGTTACATGTTGAACGACAAATACATGTATTAATATATGGATGTATATATAATTGATTTATATTTATACTTATTGATAATCACACACCATTATCAGTACACGACTGAATGACAAAATTGGAAATTTTTATTACTTTATTATATTTAGGTCATTCATTGATATAAAGGAATGAATTGTTTATTAGAATATGAATTTATTCATTAATTCTTTTTTTAAAATTTTTTATTGAGATAGGTATTGGATGATATTATTGTTGGGAAACGTGCAAGTTTTTAAAATTTTTTTGAGGGATTTACGATCATAGATCTTGATTCATCACATAGAGACAAGTTTTATGCAAAGATAAATAAAAGATGATGCATAATTCAATAAACAGATTGAATACTTACATCAAAGGTCTGAGTAAACCTTTTGAACTTTCCTCTAAAGTGAATATTCTCACTTATTGTAGATCCCTTTAGTAAGATTATTTCTCATTCTTTTTGATTATTATCTTCCCTTTAGGAATCACCAATATGCCTTGATGAATGACCTTGGAATCTATGCTGGTGGTAGCTTCCTTTAGAAGAGAAAACAAAACCCTAAAATCTAGAGAGAGAAAGTGTATTCCTTTTTCTTGTTCTCAAAGTCACCCCTAAAATATACATGAACTCATGTATATATAAGCAAAATAAAAATAAAAATAAGGAAATAATAAATCATTCTCCATCTCTAATTCAACTTTCTCAATTCTAACATGACTCCAATATCAACTTGGGCTATTGGTGAGAATCCTTTTGGGCTTACTATTTTCTTGGCTCCTATAAATTAATAATTGGTCCGGTCCATTAAACCATGGACCCAATTCAATTAATTCATAAATTAATTTCTACTCCACTAAAAGAAATTAATTGCACTCCAATTAAATAGTAAAAAACCTCTAAGTCAATGTTGCACTTTGACCCCTCTATGCTTAATTATTTATCGGATAATTAAAGTCATCAATCCGACAACATAATTAATATAATTATTTTGTTACCTTTGATTATTTTCGACTCGATCACAATAAAATATTTATTTGACAAAAAATAATAATAATTTATTAAATAAATATATATAGAAAACATTTGTCTAAAGCATACGAAGGTCTTCGAATTTAATTTGTGATCAACCATAATCAAAACAAAATAAATACAAATAGCACTGATGCAAATATTGAGAATATAGACCTCGAATTATTAATTACATAACTACCCAAAGTGTCGATCTAAGGATCCCAAGGTATCCGCCGAACAAATCAAAGTAATTATTAATTAATAAAAGAGTCTATACTTCTCTCATGCTTGAGAGTCAAAAGCCATGACTGTGATAGAGAGCAATTGCATACGACAGCTCTCGCAATATATTTCAATCTATCGTGGACTCGGTTTAAGTCTTAACTAATTAAATGTCCATCCATAATTACCGACTTTAAACCATTTATGATTACTAATTTATAACATAGTATTAATTGCCATTACATACATATATAAATATATTTTGTAATCAAGTGGACACAATCAATTCCATAATGAATCGAAAAATAATACATTCCATTCACCAATTGTAGAATGCTTTAATAATAATATCCAGATAAGAAACCATGAGTTTTACAATCCAAAATTAGAATTTGCTATGTTAGGGCACACATATCCTAACAGCTCCCACTTGCACTTATAGCTAATTCGAATCACATCTAACTCCCATGTTCTCCATATGACGATCAAACATCTTGATCGGTAAAGCCTTTGTGAATGGATCAGCAAGGTTATGTTCCGATGCAATCTTGGCCATAAGTATATCTCATCGCTTTACTATATCACGAACCACATGACGTTTCCTCTGAATGTGTCTTGTTCCTTTATGAAATTTTGGGTCCTTGGTTTGGGCTATAGCTACACTATTGTCGCAATGAAGCGTCATAGGCCGATCTAGGTGCTCCACAACCTCCAGTTCAATTAGAAAGTTTCTCAACCAAACAGCTTCTTTTGCTGCCTCAGAGGCTGCAATGTATTCTGCTTCCATGGTTGAGTCAGCAGTGCAACCCTACTTGACACTCTTCCAACTAACTGCCCCTCCATTGAACTTAAACACATATCCAGATGTAAATCTCCTGGCATCTGGATCTGATTGAAAATCAGAATCCGTATATCCGACTGGAACCAGATCATCACCTCCATAAATGAGCATTAGATTCTTAGTTCTTCTAAGGTATTTTAAGATATTCTTCACAGCTGACCAATGATTGATGAGCACTGAAAAGTGCACATTTAAACCCGTTAAGCTTAAGCATTCTAGTACCTTTATCTATCTTACTTTGCCGTTTTAGACTTATTACGTGTTATTTATATTTTCAGGCACTAATCCCAAAATTGAGCTAACTCAGCCAAATAAGAGCTTAATTGAAGCAATCTTGAGATAAACCAAAGGAGGGAGCAAAGTGGAGAAAGAAAGGAGCAAAAAAGAATTAAGTTGTGCAGTTGAAAAGTTCGATCGATCCAACTTAGAGTTCGATCGATAGAACATCTATGATCGATCACAGTACTTCTCGATAGATCCAACCTTGGCCTTTGCTGAAATTCCAAGTTCGATCGATCCAACATCACCTTCGATCGATCGAACCCTATTTTGTCCTATTCAAATGATTGATCTTATCCACAGCTGTACGCCTATCAACCACTTTTGTCCTTTTCCCCATAAATATCTTCGAAATATCTCAGCCTTGTCCTTATCCGGAGGAGTCAGACCACTTCGATCGATCCAAGATGCAGTTCGATCGATCGAACCCATCTTCGATCGATCCAAGTTAAGGTTCGATCGATCGAACTTCCTCCAGCGAGAAAAAGTTAAAGTCCAGCTCATTTATTCCGTCCTTCACCCAATCATTGGAGAATATGCCTTGCACGACCACAGCTCATCATAGGGTGTATTTGACCTACCTACATAAGGAATATGATACACTTTTTGGAGAGGAGTCTAGAGTCTCTTGTCACACATTGAAAATCATTTTTTTTGGAGGTTATTCTTGGAGAGGAAGAAGGGAGGAAGCTAGAGCAACCTTTGGAGGAGACTTTCATCATCAAGGAGCAGATCTTCACCATGGGTTTAGCCCTTGAGGGTTGAAACTTTATCATCATGAGTGGCTAGACATCCTCTTAGGGCTAGAGTTAGCCCCAAACATGCTTTCTTTACCTAATCTTGTGTAATTTTGAGGGATTAGTGTTGTAATGCATATTTTAATTCTTGAACTTATGAAGATCTTGATTATTCATTGAGTTCTATGGATTAATGCTTCTAATTGATCATTTTCTCTATCTATATGTCTATGTATGCTAGAGTAGATGCTCACCTCTAGATTTAAAGTTATTGATGCATGTCTATGTGTATTAATGCCTTTAATCTTGAGATTGCCAAAATATGAAGTTCTTAATGTAATGCTCTTGTTATGTCTCTAGATGGTTCATACTTATTCCTTGATGGATTGTGTTTCTCTTTTAAGTAGTGTAGTGTTAGTTGGGGAAACAATTCATGCTTGTTCTTTGATGTTCCATGCTTTTGAATGCAAGAAGCATATGCTCTAATATTGCGGTGCAATGGAATTTTGAGCTTAATGAAGGATTAATGATTAGTTATGATATGTTGTATCTTTCACATGTGTTTAGACAATTTATTCCTCTCCCAATAGATAAATTGTGGCCTCTCACATGATGTTTAGATAATGCATGTTTAACTAAGTCATCCTTATGGATTGCTTGGACTATGAGCTTAATGAAAGATTCAATGACTTGATTTGATATTTTGTTCTCTTCACATGATGTCTAGACAATATATTCCTCTACCAATAGATGTATTGTGGCCTCACACATGTTGATTGAGACAATTTGCACTTGTTGAGTCACTCTTACCAATTGAATGTCTTTTACACACACAACATTGTTGCAACACATTCATTTCCCTCATTAGTCACTTGATTATGGTTTGGAATAGTATTGTTTGGTGGTGATCTCTACACCCCAAGACCTTTCCTTCTTACTTACTCTTTATCTTATTGCATTTTAATTAATTCTTTTCTAGAAGTAATCAACCAACCTAATTCTCTTTTGCAATCATTTGGTACACTAGAGTCGAAGTTGAAATTCCAACACGTATAGTCCCTTGGGACGATCCCTACTCACTCTTGCTACGTTAGTAGTAGTGTTGGTAGTGGTTTTTATAAATTTAAATTTAACATAAAAGGTTTTTCTTGAACCACACATTCACTACATTCAGTTTGGCGTATAGGAACGGCCGTCGTCAATGAACAAGTCCAGGATTGGACTGATATCTACTGACAATCCCTACAGAGTAGCAAATGTTCGGTCTGGTACAGACCATGGCATACATGAGACTACCAACTGCCGAAGCATATGGTACCTGCCTCATTTGCTCAATTTCCTTATCAGTCTTGGGAAACTGGTCATTAGAAAGAGCCACCCCATGTCTAAATGGCAAAAACCCTTTCTTAGAGTTTTCCATTCCAAACCTGATCAGAACTTTGTCAATGTAAGACTCTTGAGACAAGCCTATTTTCTTTTTAACTTGATCTCGCATAAGCTTGATCC